CACACACATCACACACACCACACACACACACACACACACACACACCACACACATACACACCATACACACACACCACACACATACACACACACACCACACACCACACACACCATACACATCATATACACACACATCACACACACCACACACACCATACACATCATATACACACACACACACACACACACACACATACACACCATACACACACACACCACACACATACACACACACCACACACCACACACACCATACACACACACCACACACACACACCAATTCTTGGTGTCTATATAATTTTGTAATATATTAAAGACAAAATGGACATGCTTGTTCATTTTCACATAAGGAATATTTAATGCTTCAAGAATATCTTCAACATTTCTTCAGAGTTGATCAATACCTAGATTTTTTTATCAGACTCAACACTGAGACATTGTTCTTCATAACTATGTGCTATAGAACAGCAGAAGTATTTTGGGGCCATTTCAAAACTTCCCAAGCCAAACTTCATTTAATGGCATTTAAATAAAATGAAACACAGGTCAGTAATTCAAACAGTGATTTAAAAAAAAAAAAAACCCAAATGTTCTAACAATACAAGTTAGTGAGATATTAATTAGATACTTAAAAGCTGAAGAACTACAGCAAAGCATTAGCATTAGTTTGTTTTCCCATAATTAAACGGTCAGATAGTTACAGAAAAAGTGCTGTGCTCATAGCATGCAAGACTCTTAAACTGCAGTGTTTCCGGTGGTGCTGGTTCAGCCGAGCAGAATGAAGGGGCCCACAATGCAAAGCGTGTATGCACACTGCGAATCACATGATCCATCACAGTTGAGCATCCCAGAAACACCTAGGATTGGCTACTTGTTTGATTTCGAATTAACCTTTGGTGGTCGCGCATTCCGAAATCTTTCATTATTTCCGATTTTTTTTTCTTGACACCCCCCAATCAGTTACACAACCCACCATTTGAGAAACCATGCGTATGTCTATCTAATGACTTATTTTTAAGGACCCAAACATGATAAAGTGATGGAATGCCATTTAAGAGACCATGACTCTACCTTGGGGACCCTCACTCACCAGCCCTGAAGAAAGCTGGGTGACATGCTGTGAGTATTCCATGGAAAGAGGTTGACAGGCCAAGAGGTAGAGGAACTAGGGCCCTACGACAAGAATTCTTGAAAAGTAAGTCCTATTAGGAACCCTGGGAGTGAGCTGGAAGATGTTGCCATACCACCATGACCTCAGTTCCACCAGTGAAACCTGGAGCTCGAGAAGCCGAGGGTCCACCTGAGCCACACCTGGATACCCAGACCTAAAATGTGAGGTGAGTGTTACTTGTTGTGTTCTGGATGGTTTGTTGAGCATAAATAGAACTAACCTTTTATAATGTTGAGAAGTTCTCTTTAGTTCCTCTTTCCTTAGATAACTTTTTGAATCAAAGAGCGCTGAATTTAGCAAATTCTCTTCTCCACCTACGTCTTTTTCCATGTTCATGTGTGTGTGGTATGTAGGCACATGCCCATGTGTGCAGCAGGTACGTGTGTGTGAATGTGTGTGGAAGCCTGAGGTGGAAGTCGGGAGTTGTCTTCCGTAGCTCTTCGATCTTACTCTTTGAAAGCAGGATCTCTCAGTTACATCGGGAACTTGCCCATCTGACTAGTCTCACTAGCCAGCTTGCTCTGTGGAACCCCGGATCTGCCTTCCAAGGCAGGAATGTTGAACCAACCTTTCACTCCTAGGGTAAACCCACCTCACTTATGCTCTGTGATTCTGATATATTCCTGGGTTAGAGCAGGAATATTTAATTTTGGTATATATATATATATATATATATATATATATATATATATATATATATGATTTATTCATTTCTATTTTATGTGTTAGTGTTTTACCTGTATGTATGTATATGCACCACATGCTTGCTTGTCCTCACAGAAGTCAGAAGGGGGTGTTGGATCCCCTAGAGCTGGAGATATGGACGTTTGTGAGTATCAGGTGGGTGCTGGGTTCTCCGCAAGAGCAACAAATGCTTTTAACTGTGAGCCAACTCTCTAGTCTCATTGGTAGGCATTCTTGTTTCGAGACACACTGATCTGTAGTCTTCTTTGTCTAGTGAAGCGGATTCACAAATGATTTGGAAAATGTTTCCTGTTCTTGTATATTGAAGCGATATTTGCTTTTGATCAATACCACGAATTCCTTCAGTGTGTGGTAAAATTTGGCAGTAACTCCACATAGGCCTGGGGGTTTCCTAGTTGAAAAAATTGTAACTACAAATTCTAGTTCTTTAAGAAATTAGAGGACTGTTAAGACATCTATTTATTCTTGAGAGAGCTCTGTTTGTTTCTTTTGCCCAATGAATTTGTCTACATCACCCATATGGATGAACTTACTGGATGGTCAACGTCGTCACATTCCACTGTTGTCTGTCACATCTGTAGTGACGTCTTCTTTCTAGCTTTTGTTCATTCGTTGGGGTCTGGGTCTCACTATGGCACCCAGACTAACCTTGAAATTTGTGATCCTCCTGCCTCAGCTTTCAGAGTGCTAAGATTTTACAGGCTTGTGCCATCATACCAGGCTTTGTTTCATTCTTGATACTGGTAAATGTTTTCTCTGATCAGTTGGGTTTATTAATTTTATTGGTCTGTTAAAAGAACTAGTTCCCCCCCTTTGTTGATTTCCTTATTCTTTTGTATTTTAATTATTGATTTTATCTCTTTAATTTTTCTGTTCTGTTTTGCTTTGATTTTAGCTGTTTTTTTTAAAGATGGAAGCTTAGATCATTAAATTTAGGTATTTCTTCTTTAATATGACTTTAATGCTACCATCCCCAAACCATTATGAAAGCATCATAGAAATCTTAATGTGTTGTATTTCCATTTAGTTCAAAATATTTTCTAATTTCCATTGTGAGTTCATATTTGACCTAAGGATTATTTTTACATATGTTGCTTAATTTCCAATAACTTAAGAATTTTCCACATATCTTTCTGTAATTGATTTCCAGTTTAATTCCATTGTTTTCAGAGAACTGGATGTGCATAATTTAAGTTATTTGAAATATGTTAAGGTTGGTTTTATGGCCCATCATATGGTTTGTGTTGGTAAATGTTTCTTTTTGACAATTAAGAAAATACTTTGAAATGAACTGAGGATGTCAATGTGAATTTTTCCAGAGCTACCTTGTCCGAAGTTCATATCAGGTTAAGTAAAGTTTGCTTGGAAAAATTAACTTTATGGACTCCACAAGGTTCAGTGCCCAAGGACCGTGGAAGAGGGCCAGGCCCGGTGGTGGTTAAGAGTATGTACGAATACTCCAGCTGCTCAGGCCTAAGCAGGCAGTGAACCAGAAAGCTAGGGTGGCTCCCAGCTGTGAGTTGTTTTGTTTGGAGAGAAATTGGAGCAAAATATCACAGAACAACTTTGAAAGGGAGACACTCGGTTCATGTCACCACAGAAGATGACACTGGGAATAGACTGTCAAAGCAAAGGGCCTTTCAGCTGGCAAGTGCAGAATCGGTTTTGATAGCAAAGTGCCACTCCCGGGATGGAGGTCTCGGGAAGCCGAGAGATAGCCTGGGATGTGGGGTTTCTTCAAGCAGGTGCCGAGAACACCGAAACCATACATAGTGTGCTGCTTACACTGGTCTTTTCTTTGCAGCGCTGCCCGGGGAGAGCACACACAGAATGGGGAATTTCAGTCATTTAATATACAGTGGAGCATCACATGGTAACAGAAAGAGCATAAGGTTTGGAACTCTAGGACTGCTACCTTCTTACCCGTGTTGGATCCCAGGCATAGTGATTGCTGTTGCCTGGACAACAGCATCGGCCATGTGCAACAGCTGATGAACGCTGACTTCAAGACAGGCACTGTGCTAAGCATGTTTTTGCATATGATCCTTACCGTAGCCTTATGTAAGCATGTCATAGGCAATACTGTCCTGAGGATTCAGAGGAGAAATAAGAGTCAGAGAGGATGAGTACGTCAGGAGGCACAACTCACAGGCTGTGTAGTCAATGTTAGAATGCTGGCAGTTCGACTCTAGAACCTTCCTTCCTGTTTGCCAATCCTGCCAAAGGCATAGGAGTAGGCACTGGGGTCCTTCAGTTAGCCTCAGTGTTCTTCTCATGTGCAATGTAGCACAACCCTTCTTCCGTGGTTAGCCTTCCTGGGAGATGCGCCTCGCGGCTGCCCTTCCTTCCTGGGAGATGAGCCCTGCTGCTGCCCTTCCTTCTCATCCATGCTCATCCATGTGCAGCAGGCCCAACACTCAGGAGAGCCCACCTCCATTGAGTTGGACAGGATGTGGGTGTTTTGTCTGTGTGTGGATCCTAGGACCAGCAACACTAGCTGTATCTCCCCCAGTTTGGTTTCTTATAAGGAGGAGGGAGTTGAGTCACAGACACTGGAAAATGACAGTATTTAGCTGCTGGAGGAAACTGCTTGCATTGATTTTCCCCCACTTTAAGTGAATTTGGAAAGGAAATTGTTTTCAGGGCACATAAAAATAATCCTTAGTCATTACCATGGGAACACTTACATTTCAGACTCGGTGTCCATGCTTTCTCTGATCTTCACAGCAACCCCACAGGCCTGCATCAGCATTAGTAGTTACTAAAGAGATAACAGTCATTATCTGTTCTATAGCCGTTGGCAAGGAGCTGAGATGCTCACCAGTGTGTAGAGGGTCACTCTGCCATCTGGGGTTGAAGCAAGTTTCGCAATCAGCTCTACCTGTTTCCAAACGGCGTCAGAACACCTAAGAACAGGTTGGGAAGCATCCTCTGCCTTTGACCTTCGGAGCTGTGGACACTGGAGCAGACCTGATGGTCCAATCTCAATGTGCAGCAACTTGAAGAGAAGCTACAGACAGTCTTCCTCGCCAGTCCTGCAAAAACACTAAAGACCCAGGCAGGGAAGAATGCTTTTATTGTTCATTGATGTCACCAAGGCCAGTGGATCAGTTTAAGTATTGGGTAAAACAACTTAAGTTTAAAAGAGCCGAGTGTCTCTGGCTTCACACATGGGCTCAGCTAATGATTGAGTGAAATGCTTCATCTCCCGATAAACATGACCTTAGTTCTTTTCACGAAATATGGAAACCAATCCTTTCAAAACAGGTCTTCTGGTTGGGGATTTAGCTCAGTGGTAGAGTGCTTGCCTAGCAAGTGCTAGGCCCTGAGTTCGGTCCCCAGCTCTGGAAAAAAAAATAATAAACAAAAAACAAGTCTTCTTTAGGACAGCAGTTCTCAACCTGTGGGTTGTGATCTCTTCAGCAAACCTCTATCTCCAAAAATATTTACATTATGATTTATAACAGTAGCAAAAGCACAGTTATGAAGTAGTAGTTATGAAATAATATTATGGCTGGGGGGTCACCACAACACGAGGAGCTGTATTAAAAGGCTGCTGCATTAGGAAGGTTCAGAACCAGTGTTCTAGGATTCTTTACTGTGAGGACCAGCCTCGAGCAGCTCAGGGATTGAAGGGGAGCCATGGAGATGGCGGACTAATCACTCAGTTTGACTTTTCTATCTGAGGGAGTAAAACTTAATTCTTTGGGGCTGGCAAAAGGGAACACACACACACACACACACACACACACACACACACACACACACACACTCATTTAGGGTCTTTATCTGTTCTTTCATGTCTTTATTTTTCCTTTACAGCTTATATATCCCAACAAAATCTTTCAGGCAATATAAAAATTACAATGTGGTTACATTCTATTTTTTAAGTGAATGATTATAATGAATACAGGTAAAAACACATTTCCCATTTCCCTTACATAATTGAACACACCATACACTATAGATTAAAAACAAATTATCCCAAGAACCCACATACATTTATATCCAAGCAACTTGCTATGGATAACAGTGTAAGCAAACAAGGTATTTTTTCTCAGCCAGTTCTTTTACTGGCAGGCTGTATTTTGTGGATACAAAGAAAAGATCAATCATTTCATTATTTATCTCAAAAGGTAATGTTATAAGGAATCTTAAAAGAATCACAAACCTAAACTTTTATACATGAAAAACAACCAATCATCTCTACTTTAAATCCTCAGTGTGCACACCCATTCATCAACAGTTTTTTATATCAGGAAGCTGAGGGCAGAAATGGGCACAAGGAATTAATCATCATCTTTGATCGCCAACCCATACTAGCAAGACAGACAAGTCAGCTGGTAATAACCGGGCTACTTTGTTCTTGTTCCCCAACTTCAACAAGTCCCTCACTCAACTGCGTGCCTTTCTAAAACATTGGATTGTTTCTTTGAGTTTTTCACCTCAAAGCTATTGACAAAAACATCCTAATCTAACTTTAAGTTGTTTTTTTAAAGCTTTGTTTCAGCTACGATGCACACTGAAACCCATGAACACAACTCTCAATATTAAGATGAAAAGAATTTGAGCTAACTTAGCTTCTGGGACTCAGTTGTTTTTCTTATTAACCTAAGCCACAGTCTATACAGCTTCTCCACAGGAAGTAGCTGTGTGACTTTCCTTGTTCTTATTGTCTGTCCTCTGAAGCCCCTGTTTTTATCACCGGCAGGGGGCAATACTTTAAACAGTACAGTTAAAGAGGAAATCATCTTCCTAATAATCCACAGGTAAAAATGCTCAGTAGAACAGGTCATTTCCAAGAGCTAATCACACTCCATTAGAGGCAGTGGGCAACCCCCACACCCATTCACACCAGACACCAGAGAAAAATGGCAGCGGCAAACATGTAAAGGCACAGCAGTAGCAAGAGACGTTCTGGAGCCGAAGCCCTCTGGGCCTTGGCTATCCAAGATTTGCCCATCAGTGCTTTGCTTCCTGGTGGGACCTCCTGAACTTCAACTGCCACCTGCTGCTCCTCTGACATGGCCACTGGCAGATCTTTCATTGTTTTAAAAAAAATATCTATTTTTATGTGTGTGTATGTTTTGCTTACATATATGTATGCATACCATGTGTGTGCCTGGTGCCCATGGGGATCAGAAGGTATTAGATCCCTTGGAACTAGAGTTATGGATGGTTGTGTGTCACATTGTATGTGCTGGGAATTGAACCTGGGTTCTCTGCAAGAGCAGCAAGTGACGTCTGAAAAAGTCATAAAATCAGACTACTAACTACCTAACTAAAATACCTACAATGTGTGGGGAGTGGAGGAAGCCCTGAGGGAATGTGTGCTGTTGACATGAGTCAATCATGTCAAGGACCCTAGCCTCAGACCAAGGTGCAAATGGCGGAAGCCCATCCCCAGCCTTATTTCCCACCTTCAGAGCTGTCAGCAGCTCCCTCTGCTCCAGGGCTGCTCCTGCTCCCCGGGACCCTCACTCTAGACTCCAGAAGCTGGCATCAGCTAGGTAGCAGTGCTTCCTAGGGTGTCAGCACTAACGTGGGACTCCCAGAGGGCCTAGGCCTTGGCAATCCCTGTCTTCACCACCCTGCATCTCCAGCCTGACTGATGGATGGATACTGCTTCCAGCAGTTGCTACCCAAGTTACCCTGAAGTGGCTACCTGTGTTTCCCCCGCAGTCGCTCTCTGTGTTTTTCCACAGCTGCTGTGCCGTCCCGCAGCTGTTACCCATGGTATCAGGCAGCTGCTACCTGTATTATCTTTGTGCCCTTTTCTCCAGCCCTTCCATTGTGTAACAATTCTCTGTATGAACACCTTCCTCTTAAAATATCTAATGTATTTCTTTTTTCTTCCCTAGACTGACATTTTTAGCTCGATCCATCTGGAAAATGTATTGACTTTGTCATTTCAGAACACCCGTGGGCATTTGTACTTTCCATTTTACAGTGGATTCTAAGACCAAATAATTTTCCCCCCATGAGTTATACCCATGAACAAGTTACTCAGTAACAGTCACAGTGGTCATTCTACTGTGCATATAATTTACTAACATGCCATTCCCGATGCCATGTGTCAGGAATTTAGTTCCCAGGCAGGCAAGTGTTTTCGAGAAAGAATTTGACACATAGGGGTTCTAGCAGCTTCAGAGAGGGGGTGAACAGCTCACGGGATCCCAGGCTTCAGGGACCATATCCATTTTGAGTTTTCAGAGCCTAGAGATTGAGAAATAATTGTGTTCTAGAAAGTTTGACAATCAGCGCTTTACAGAGAACACCTAATGTAGCAACTGGCGGCATGTGTTGGCAGGTACTTGGTGGACATGAATCTATTTACCATTTACTCCATTGCATCTTTAAGTCATCACAAGATAATCACAGAAAAGTAGAAAATCCAGACAGATTTGAGAAACATAACCAGGATGCAATTCATGGATCTCAAATTCAGTGTCCTTTTCAGAGTTTGCTAAGCATTGTGCTTGCTGCAGTTACTGGGCATGTGGGGTTGATTTGACGAAATGCCCCTGTCTCATGTGGGAGAGGGTTTTGCTGCTAATGCTTTACTAAGCAGTCATTTATAGTTTCTTCAGTATCCATTGACAGCATCAGTCCAGAATCCATTCCTCTTCCTGCAAGGTATAGGAATCTCTGTAGGACGGTCCTTGCAGACATGTTCTTCTCCATAGCAAAGAGATAACACATGCTTTCTATTAACTCATAACTGGTAAGGCAACATTCTCTCTTAGTAGTCTGTACTCTCTAAAGATGAGGACTTAGCTTGTGGAACTTAGTTAGGCTATGAGGTCATGAGCTTTCCTGAGGTTCTTAAACTGCACCATACCCACCTACTCGAACACCCTGGCTGTGGGCATCAGGAAGGGATGTTTATGCTCTACTAGAGAAAGGTGCCGATAACAGCATTGGCTCTTGCACAGTGCCAGGTACTGTCAGGTTTTTACATGAAGTATCTCATTTCTGGTGTATTTTTGCTTAATATGGTGATTTCCAGTTCCATATACTTTCAGAAAAATGACAAAATTTCAATCTTATGGCCAAATAGAACTTTGTTGCATACGTACTTCACTTACCTGTTCGTATGATAGACAGGCTGAATCTGGAACTTGTTTCTTGCCAATAGTGCCACAATGAACATGGATATTCACATTAACTCTATGGTAAGCTGACTCTAAGTCTTTTGTGTGTACCCTGAAGCAATATAGTTCGACCATACAGTGGCTCTAACTTCAGTATTTTGAGGAAGCTCCACACTGATTTCTGTAGTGGTTGCACTGTATTCCCACTAGCAGAATATAAGGTAAGTGTAGTGGGCAGTTTGCTCTGACCATGACCGTGGGCTAGCTGGCCCCATAGAGGCAGTGCTTCTTGCCTGACTATGTGACCTCTTAAAAGGGAAGAGGGAGGGGATTGAGAGCTCTCTCTTGGACTCTTGGATGCGGAAGGCTTCCTGGCACATGGTTTGGTGACCTGGTCTGGAGCTTTCCTCATCTCTCCCTGGGAGACAAAGAGACAACAGCATCACTTCATTTTGTATAAGTGAGTGTGTGATCTCCATGTTATCCCTTAATAAATAAGTTTTCTTCCCAGAAATCTGTGGATTTCTTGCATCTTCTGGCGCCCAACATGGGGCTGGAATTGCTGCATAAAACCTGACAAAAGCTTAAAAAGGCATTCTAGACCCACAAAAATATGAGTCAAACTCAGCTTCTTGGTAGCCACATTTTTTTTTTTTCCAGATAGGCTCTGTCACTGGCAGCTAACAGATGCTCAGCTCCTTTAAGAGACGGCTTCCTGGTTCAGGCTGGTGGCACAGATGACTCTTTGAGAGGTCCTGCTATGGAGTCCTTAATGCTGCAAGCTGCTTGGTGGTGGTATGGACCCACTGCTTCCCAGAGTTGGTGGTGAACATACCTCTGCCACGTTGAAAAGCTGAAAGGGGTGAAGCCAGCAGCCAGGGCTGCCAATTTCATTTTAGCCTTGCAGCTTAACAGTTTTAAAACTCTTCTGGTCAATAAAAGATTACAGATATACAATAAAGACAGATTAAATGAAAAAAAAACAACTCTAAAAGGGTTACAAGATGTTTAAAACTATAATAGGCTTGAGAGAGAAAAAAAAAGGATAGAGAAAGTCCCTAAAAAAAGAGTAATAAAAAAAGAAACATAAAGATGGAAAGTATACAGAGAGTCTGGATACTGTATATTATTGTATTGTTTTTGGGATTTTTTTTTTTAAATTGCATTTGATTTTAGGGGCTGCTAAGTTAAACCAACATATATATCTTAAAGGTATCTTGATTTCAAAATTTGAATCTAAGGATCTGTTGCTGTGGGAAAGAGGTTCTGCTTTTGTTTCCACAGAAGATGAGAAGCTGTGGATTCCTTCCAGATTAATATAGTTCCATCAATGAAGACCCACCTGAGAGGTCTCCAAGTGGAAGCTATGGTCCAGATGATCCTACATCCAGAACAGCTTCAAAGCATCTGGCTAAAATGATCCAGCCGCACAGACTACTCCAATCAGGACTTGACTATAATCCTAAATTTTCTTAGGGTACCCCAAAGATTACCAGTGCCCCCAATCAGCAGGAAGTAGCCTAGAAAACTATGCCTACATTCCCAAAAAATGGATTATGGATATTTGTCTTTATTTAGGGGGGTTGGTTACAAATTTTTATTGGTCATAGTCAATCTCTTTCTAAAAGAAGAAATGGGGATATTATATAGAAATGATGAGGAAAAGCGATAATTATTAAATCTACTTTAATCCAAAAAAACAACTGTTAATCTTACATATTTTGTATCAGTATGGATTTTAGTTTATTGATACAAATTTAAAGTTAATTTTGTTATACTGCATGTATATTTCTACTCTTGTTTAGGGTATTATGTTTATGCAACTCATCTAAAATTTTAATATATTATTAAGATATAGTAGATTAATAGTTAATCATCAACGATAATCAAACTTATAGTCATGTTAGTTAAGTTTTCTAGGTATACAAATATATAATTTAATTAAGTAAGGTAATCTTCAAATACTTCAAAGACCTACAGAATATGGCATTGAAAATATGGCATTTTAAGAACTTAAGATTTTTTATGACCATGAGACATGTCTGCTCCTGGCAGCACCAATTACTTGAAAGTAGATGACGGACATCAAAAAAAACTAGTTATGGAGTTTGATTGCAATATGGAAAAGGCTAGCCATTTGGGCAAGAAACTGCTCTTGCCTGGACTGCTTGATAAACTGAACACGCAGGACCCATAAGAAAATGACCACTGAACTGTGGTGGTATTCTAATTATACTGAAATGTGATTTTGATTGTATGTTAATAAATAAAGTTGCCCGGGGGTCAGAGCTATTAGAGCCATAGACAGAGTGTGGCGGTGGTGGCGCACGCCTTTAACCCCATAGATCTCTGTGTGTTCAGGGATACAGCCAGCATTGGAGACATATGCCTTTAAGACCTGGAGGGCTGTACATACAGACAGTGACGAGGCAGTCATGTGTTTGGGTTTACAACCAATGAGAAAGCAGAATGACTATGAAACGACTTACACACAGGGAAACAGCTCTCTTTCGGGAAGCTGGGACCGCCGCAGGAGCAAGGGTGAGATTTTAGCTCTGAGCTCTGACCTCTCGGCTTTCTCCTTTACATTTGTTCTGTGTTTCTTATTTAATAAGACGGTTGGATACATCTACACTGAACTTTGCCAAAACAAGGTGGGATGGTCCTTCAAGTTCCTGCTTCACAGAAGAAACTGCCAGACATTTTACAGGACACAGAGAAAAGCAACTGATGAACTTTGCCAATAGATGGAACAGTCTTTCAAATCTCCTGCTTCACTGAAAAGTATGTCAGAGATTCTAGGCCTGTAGGCTGAAAATGGATGCCCCAACATTGCAGAGGAACTTTGAGTGACTGTCTAGGCACCCAGATGTCTGTCATTTCTAGAATTTTGGAAGTTGCCTACAATGCACTTCCTGTTTACTTAGGTAATATTTTATCCTTCTGGGGTCTTTGATGAAGACTAGCTATAGTTATAATTTTCATTAATTACAATAAAAGATAATTTAGATATGAAACATTAGACTCACAAAAACAGGATAGAATATTTTCCTTAATTCTGCCAAATAAAAATAGACTCAATATTGTAACTAATTATTACTTGATACTGTTTTGTTATATGTAATTTTACTATGTTAAAATGAAAACCTTTTTCTTTGATTAGACAGAAAGGGGGAAGTGCTGTGGGATGGTCTTTTTGTATGCTGTGAATATATGTTGCTACCATTGGTTAATAAAGAAGCTGCTTTGGCCTATGGCAAGATAGGTTATAGCCAGGTGGGACATCCAAGCAAAGATGCAGGGAGAAGAAAGGTAGACTCAGAGCAGACCCCAGTCTGATGCCCAAGAAGCAACATGCCAGCAGACCAGTAATGCCACTGTCATATGACAAAACATAAACAGAAATGGGTTAATTTAGAAGAGATAGCTAGCAAGAAGCCTGAGTCATAGACCAAATAGTTTGCAATTAATATCAAGTCCTGAGTGATTATTTCATAAGCTGCTACAGGCTGGGCGGGACACAGTAAAACTTTGGCTACAGTTGGTGCCCACGTTGGGCACACCATATAAGGGCCTTACTGCCAAACCTCGAGATTTTCACCAGCATTGGTTTTCATGATATTCATATCGCAGAAGACATGGGATCTCAATGTAGTCTTTTTTCAAGATTTTACTTTATGCATATGAATGTTTTGCCTGCATGCAAGTATATGTACCACCTGAATACCTGGGACTGGGGTTACAGATGGTTGTGAGACCCCAAGTGGATCCTGGGAATCAAACCCAGGTTCTTTGCAAGTGCAATAAGTGCTCTTAATCGCTGAGCCTCCTCTCCAGCCCTCAAGGTAGTTCTGATTTTCCTTTCTTTGATGGTGAGTTTTATTCATGTACTTGTAATTTTTTCCTGTTAAGAGCCGTCCAATTTATTTGTCCACTTACTGATTGGATGCATTTTTTTGATATCCAGTTCTGGAGTTCTTTGTATATGTAGATACTAATCCACTAGAGGTATAGGTAGGAAAGGTTTTCTCCCACTGTGCATGCTTTTTTCCTTGCTTCCTCAGCTGTGCAGATGCTTCATTTCACCTAATTCCACCTGCCAGTTCCACTATTGCTTGTGCTGCTGGAATCCTTTTCATAATGTCTTTTCCTATGCTTATATATTGAAACATATTCCCTGTTTTCCTTAGCAGTTTCAATGATTCAGGCTTTGGTCCACTTTGAACATTTTTACAGGACAAGAGATAAGAATCTAGTTTCATTCTGGATGTGGATGTCCAGATTTCTCAGTGGCATTTCTTGAAGAGGCTGCTATTTCTCTAATCTATGCTTTTGGCACCAAAGTGGAAGATCAGGTGACTGTAGCTGGGTGTGGTCAGAATTCTATTAGAGATCTGAAGGCAGTCCTCATGTTGACATTTGCAGACATTCGAATTTGTATTCCTTGCCGTTACCAACCCTTTTTCTTTTCAAGCCAATGTCCTTGAAATTAATGTATTTTTGTGTTTCTTTTTCGTTTTTTATTAGATCTTTGAGTTTCAGGTTTCATGTGTTTTGATCATATTCACTCTCCCCAATATTTTTCATTACATTCATTTTGTGTGTTGTGTGTACATGGTATGTACATGCACATACCCTGGTGTTTTAATTTCAGCACTTACATTCTTTGACCTAGAGTCTAATGTTCTTCAATGCTGGGAACATTTCTTGAAACACATCATTTGGTTTTTTTGAGACAGAATCTCACTATACATAGCCTGGGCTGGCCGAAGCACTCACAATCTGCCTCAGCCTCCCGAGTGCTGGGTTGTATGTAACCACCATGCCGGGGCACTATGCAACTGATTTTTTTTTTTTTAAACTGATTGGATGTTGGGCCTCCTGAGCCATTTATTTTCTTTTTTGTTTTAATTTTTTTCAAATTAAAATATAATTATATAATTTCTCCCTCCCCTTTAATTTTCTTAACTTTTATTCTTTCATATTTACATTTATTTTCTGAGAAATGTCCTTAATTTTATATTATAAATCTTCAACTTGAACTACTCGTATTCTTTCCAAAAGTTCTTCTTGAAGCGTCTGCTTGTAAGTCGTGGTTATGACACCTATCTGGTCGTGACATCTTCCGAGGTCTCATCACCCCACCCATTGGTTTCTTCTAGGGCTCACCCCATTGCCTTCTCTGCCGTCACTCTTGACTGACTGCTTGCTCTGGCACAGGGAGGATTCCATTTTTACTGTAATGGTCTCTAGCCACACAGCTAATTAGCAGGGGGCCTCTGACAGCTGGCTCCTCCTCATGCCCTTTCATCTACAGTGGCACCTTCCAGACTCTGTTAGGACGGCTGTGGGGGCCAGTGAGAAAAAAGGATGCTGTCCTTGAATTTCCCCGATTCTGAGGACTGTCCTCCTGCCATCTATTGCATACAGCATTTCTCAGTCAGAGGACCTGCTTACATATCCCATATAAACAGTCACATGTGCATTCTATTTGACTGTTAGTGTGTGTGTGTGTGTGTGTGTGTGTGTGTGTGCGCGCGCGCGTGCGCGCGCATGTGCAGGCCAGATGACAAGGCTGTCAGTCAGTTCCTCCTCCTCTACCTTCACGTGGAGGGGTCCTGGGGATGGAAATTGGGCAGCAGCCAGGTTTGCATGGCTAGTGCCCCCATCCAGTGAGTATCCTGCTGGCCCTGACCCGACGGGTGCATTGTTAAAGAACGAACACTTCACAGCTGGCTTGTATAACATTTTATTACTTGTATATTGCATAGTGAGAAGAGCAGAGTCAGGAGGCTCTTGGTCTGGCTCAAGAACTAACCAGGATGAAGTGGTTAAGTTACTTAACTTGGTTAAACTCTTATTTCCTCATTGGAAAAATGGAGATGATACCATGTACTCTGTAGAACTGCTAACGATGAGATAGGTACATTGTTTTCCTGTCAAGTATCTGGTCAGACTATTTCTATAGTTTGCTGCTACTAGCTCCTGTTCATCACCTCAGTGCTAACTGTTCTTAATAAACGCATTAAGACAGTTGGTACCAACAGAACACGTCAATTCTGAATACTAAGAATTGTAAAAGAAAAACAAACTAAAAAATGGCCCTATCTTTTTATTTAGTATAGTGGCTTTTTAAAAAATATAAAAACAACATCATTTATCTATACTATCCCATCCAAAATTCCAATTTCACTTAAAGTATTTTTTTTTTCTTAAACCTACTCACAATGAACACCTATGCATGTGAAAACCCCAAGATACACGTGCAATTACTTTGCAGTTTCCCCGTTGGCATAATATAAGTAAAATACATAATATGGGCAGTTAAATACTTTCCTCTCAAACATTAGGGATCATGATATATATGAAGATTAATTTCTTGTGCATTATCCCTAATGTAAAAAAATCACAGGTATATTATACTGCTTGTCAAAAATATGGTAGTCACACCTAGACATGACACATCCCTGCCAAGGCTTTCTCCACCAGTGGTACTTCTGCACAAGCCCTTACAACCACCTGCAGTTGAAAACACAAACTCCCTTTAAGGCAAC